AAGAGGTAGTGACACATGAACCCAGCCCCCCATGTGATAAACAGCTTTTTTTTAAAAAAATGGTGCCTTTGCTTCAGCACTGATGCTTTGTGTCCTGCAGGGGGCGACGTGGCTCTCAGGGCAGTGAGCCCTACAGTCCGTACGACTTCAGTGAAGACCAGGAAGTCCCTGAGAGTGAGCATCATGTGTTGTCACGCCACAGTGTAGTCGGTCGCCTCTTTGGTGCTACAGACCAAATGAACTTTCACATCATCCATAATAAAGTTGCCAACATTACTGTCAGTACTAGTATGTTCCTGTTCACTGCACTGAGCTAGAAAAGCAGGTTTAATATACTTTTTTTAAAAATTTGACTCTTATAAAATAGCAAATTTGGCTCATTTATATTTACATTACATTTTAAAAAGGCAAAGTCAGTATCGCTGCCGTGTAATAAAACAATATCATTATGAATTTGCATCACTGTAGGGAAAAGTCTTTGAGCGTGTAGTTCTGCATGGTTCAGGTTTAAGCAGGCTTCATGTTAGGTTCTGCATCAGGTCTCACTTTGGTGTTTGTTCTTCAGTTCAGGCCGGCACCCCGAAACCAGCCAAGCCCAGAGAGGACGAGCCCATGGATGCCTCGCTGCAGGCTGGAGATGCTGAGCTGTCTGCAGAGAGGTGTGTGTGCGCGTGTGTGCGTGCGTGCGCCTTTATTTTGAAATGTCACGGCTTCTTTCCTGTCTTTCCTCCCCCAGGCTGAAGGAGTTCAAGTCGTCGCTGTTCGCCGTGTTCCAGTCTGCTCACGCTCAGTCGGTGAAGATGAGCGCGCTGATGGACGACATCAACAAGGAGCGTCAGAATACGTTTGCAGAGGCCGAGGTGCGTGGCGCTTTGGCCCGCATGCAGGATGACAACCAAGTCATGGTGGCTGATGACATCATCTTCCTCATTTGAGACTGAAATAAAATTACTTGGACTTTTAAGAAGCCGTGGATCATAGCGCCCCCCGGCGTTCATCGGACACGTCATCTGTCGCCTCATCGCGTTTGCTTTGGTTTCAGCAGCTCGGCTCTGCAAACTGGGATGAAGATAAAGTCGTATTACTTCCTGCACTTGTTTCAGTTCAGTGGTGGAAACGTTGCCTTAGAGCGTCTTTGGTTGCTGCTCCCGGCGCTCTAAGGTTTTTACCTGCGTTTGTCTCTTCTGGGCTTGTATATAGTTGACACGTGTTGTTAAATAACTGTTGTGAAATATAAAAAAATAATAAAATGTCATTGGTGTGAAAAAAGGCTCTTGATTTAAGACTGAAAGCGCCGTACCTGTGCACACACGTGGGGGAAGTGGCTGCATGTGTGGTGCTGGTAATCTCTCCTGCAGGTACACAAGTGTTTACAAGAAGCATTTTAAAATCCCCGATCAATCCACACCTCGGTGTGTGTGGGTGGCAGCTCCCACGGTCGACACAGACCTCAGAACTGTTTAGGAAGTCGGCGTTCAACCTCACCCTTCTCACTTTTTCATTCTGGTTATGTGCTGGTGTCAGTTTCTCAGGTTTGCCAAAGGTCAGATGTGGCAGCGCCTCACAATCACTGCTCTGAGAATAAACTGAACTGCGGCTGCGATCGTGCTGAAGATAAGAGTGTGAACTCGACCCGCCTCAGCAACAGCGTTTCGTTTCTCTGCCACCATCCAGGACGCGGGGCCTTGAGGTCTGAACTCCTACGCCCGATTCAGCCCGTGACGTGTCAGTCGCCGTCGTTCCTCGCAGCTGCAGCCACAGTTCGATCGTAACAAATATTATTTTAAATGGGGCGATTATTCAGTACCGGGTTTGGCATCTTATATTGTCCTGGTCTACTCTGAGTATTTCCACACAGAAAATAAAAGTACAGGTGAAATGAAACTGTAAAGCTAATCGGAGCATGTTTGGTGTGCAGACCACAGGCTGCAAAGAGCAGATTTGGGTGCTGTTTGCAAAAACCCAAAAGATCGAAGCAGAGAAATCTTTATTAACACGAATATGGTGTTAATGTTTCTTCTTTGTAGTTTGAGAAAAAGGAAACGTGTGCAGCGTTTTGTATGAGCACATTTCTTACTCCTGTGTGAAATATCGTGTTTGGGACGTTGTCTGCACGACACAGATGTGTGACCGTGTTTACACACAGCTGCAGACGCTCGCCGTTTACCTCTGACCTTATCTCCTCGTACATCGCGCTTTGGATCAACCTCCATACGACCTGTCGCCCAGTTTTTGTGTAATTTGGCGAAGCTCAGCTTCTTCCTTCCTCAAGAACGGCTTCGTGCGAGCTCCACCCACTGAGAGCATTTCTGAGCAGCTGAAGGATGTTTTGCTGGTGTCTCTCCGTTAAGTACGTGACTTTAGGATACTTCTCATTTCTACAAGGACTGGATTAAACATAAAATCAGCCAATGAGAAAAGAGTTTTTTGAAAGACCTTCAGAAATAGAAAATATAAATACATTAGGGCTGAAGACTTTGTTTTACAGTACTGTAAATGACTTTGCAGTGTCATTCTTATAAATCTGATATCAAATCATTTATATATAAACTTTACGTGTATCAGCTTTGTGGTTATGGTAAACCCAGCGCCTCATTTCACATAAAAAGCGTGGGATTCATTAGTTGACCTCATTGACGTGTTTTCAGTTTCCATTGCACGAGTCCATCAGCGGCTCAGCGCTGCTCTGTAATTCCCTTTAACTCACTTTTTTTACCCTAGCTTTCAGAGCCATACTTGTGAAAGAAGCCATATCAATAAATAATCTTGAACTTGGGAATAATTATGCTGTTTGACTGTTACATAACCCACCATAACTGAGAAATACATTTGGCTGCTGTGTCTGAGTAAGGAAGTGATGCTTGTTCAAAGAACATAACAATACAAAAAGAAATAATCTGTTCATCCTAAATCCACTGAGACTTGAATCAGGTCTTTTATGGTGAGTGTGAGGCTGTTAACACTGTGGCACTCGTTTGTTTCAACCTGATTTACACCAACTCCCATGTAAATGGGAGCGCGTGCTTCCCTTTAACTCCCCGCTCTGTGGTTACATTATTAAAATAGAACATCTTAAAATTGTTTGTTTATATGGAAAAACGGCTACACTCGCCGACTGCACCATAAAGTGAACAGCCTGGCCATAACTTCACTTCAGTTGATATCTCTCTAAAACACTGTGTTTGGGACACTCAGGCTTTGGTTCATTTTTAAAGGTTTGAAACATTAGAGAACTCAGCTTGGCTTTAATTGGAAAGTTTGACACAATGGGATAATAATTAAGTTGTTATTTTTTTCATAGTGTGTCAGTTGAGAAAGCAAGTGTCCGTCTGGTGTGTCCGCTGTAAATATAAGCTAGTTAGCTTTGTTTAGCTTAGCTTGGCTTGTTTTAAAGACTGGAAATGGGAAAGTCCTCAAGTTAATCCAGCTAAAGAAGTTTACAGCACATTAAAACACACAGCCTACCTCAACATGGACTGTTTATACTTAATGTACAAATGAAACAATCAGAATGTCAGTTTTGGCAGATTTGAACTGCCATAGCTTGCCATAGCTTTATGCTAGGTAAGCTAACTATTCCTCTTTAATTAATGAATATCAAGTAGTATCAAAAACTCTCAACAATTCTTAAATTGGTACGACAGCCAATAAATGGACTTTATAGATATGGCGTTCCTGGGCCTGCGCTCTCCTGGAGATCTTGGTTTTGGGATCTGTGGGAGCCGCTCGCCTACTTTGGGGCCACTGCACCGAGGCCTCCAGTTACCACGCAGACCACTGCTGCCTTCACCCTCGGTCCTTCTCCAGCTTCTCGTGTTCATTCTTCCCGATGTTGCTATCAGTTGGTGTTGCTACATCTATCACTAGAGCTGTTTGTCCGTCTGTATCTGGAAGTCCAACGGGATCTTAGCTCGGCCATTCTCAGTCAGAAAGAAACTTCTTTATTTAAAAATGAAGTTTTTTAAAACCCATGTTTGATTGTTGAGTTTCTATAGTACTGTTGGTTTGCCTGATTTTAGATGGCTTTGTGCTTTTACCTGAGCTATCTGGGCCAAACTGGGGCTTCTAAAAGCACTTTACATGAAAGCTAAAGAGCTTGGAAAGAAAGCTTCTTCGGTGTTCTTCAGAAACCATTTCTCCTAACTTCACTATATATGTTACACAAGGAGAGAAGATGTTATCACATGGCTTGCATTTAAGAAGTATGTTGATTCATTACCAGAAGCTGTGTCAGCATTTCCTTGACCTACATTGTTTAGAGTGAGTTTGTGCGTAGGTGTAGTTACTAGCGTACCATTTTCTATGTTTCAGAAAAAACAGAAAAAGTTGATGCAGTTCAGCTTAATTTGTTTGTTCCTGTTTGTTTCTTAAAGTGATAAAAGTTACAACTTGATGTGAGTCGAGATAATCAGAGCTCTGCGGATGTACACACACACACACACACACACACACACGCACACACACACACACACACAGAGTAATTGTCACTATTTCACTTTGCTTTTTGATAAACGAAATTCCTTGCAACTGCATTTGAACACCCGTATCACATTTTACACCTTGAATTTGACTTTCACATCAATCCCTGCTAATTTTGTTTGTTGCTGAACATTTCCCCCGATGAAACTGTGAAGCAGATTATAATTTTCCCAACAACTTCAAAACGACGGAGGGGTGCAGGACAGCTTCCACACCTTTGTCTGACACCTTCTGAAAGTGTCAACATTGAACGTTTGTGCAGGGCAATTATACTTTCTGTAGCAGGTCAAAATGGGGTCAAATGAAAAAAAAACCCCCAAAGACCTTAAGAGTTTTGAAGATTTCATAGTAAATATGCTACATGATACAATCACACATAACACGCACAGTTAGTCGGCACGGAAACAAAACTCTTTTCGAATATCAGCCGCGTTTCTTCAGAATCGGTGACAGTCAGAGCGGAAATGCATCTCACATGTTGCCAGCACACCAACTCAGTGTGCCGGCGTATAACCGCTGCTCGACTGCAGACGTTACAGGATACCACAGGAGGGCTTCACAGTTACGCTGGGCTTTGAGGCAACACAGTCATGCTGCTGGTGAGTCGAGCTGCTTTATCCTTAACTTTTATCGGTGATTATTAAATTAGAGCCACTTTTAGACAATGTAATGTAAAAAAGTAGCACATTTGATTTCTGAACACTTATTTCATGACGCTGTCCCAAAATCAGGATGCCGACATTTTCCCTAATCTGTAACGCACGGCAGTGATTAAAAACAAAATGCCTTTTGGATTTATTCACTGATTATCCAGCCAACTAGGAACTGGCAGCAGTCGTAAAGTTCTATTTTCTTTGCTCACATGTGTTCTAGCTGATGAAGCACTTTGACACGCTGTGGCCTGCGCGCTCTTGTCTTGCTTAGGTGTTGAGAGCTTTGCTGGTCCTGAGTTTGGCTCCCCTGCTGCACGGCGCCAGGAAAAGCCAGTCGGTCTCAGCAAAGCTGGGGCCCAGAGCTGGACTGAAGGGCAACAGTGTGAGGTTGGTTATAGATCCTTCAGTGCTGCCGCACTTCACCGCAAAATCTCCCTCAAGCATCGCCAACATGTCTCTGTCACCGTGGACGTACATGTAAGACCCTGCTGTTATTCATCTATGTTTCACTGGGCCATGTTAATCTTTAGGTTACAGTGTTTTTTCTCTGACCCATCCGTCCGCAGTGACTCGTCCGTGGACTCTCGTTTGCCCAAGCATATCTCAAACGCCCAGTGCCTCACCACTGGCTGTCTGAGTCCACAGGGGGGAGGGGAGGATAGAGGCCTGGAGGCTAAACCCATCAAGTACGAAGTTCTGGTCCTCCACAGGTGAGCTGCTGTGGAAAATACTCGCTTTGCACTTGGTTTTGTTTTCATCAGAACAGCTAGAATTGCTCTTGTGTTCAGTTTCAGTTCATTTGCAGACAGCCCTGATAATAGAAAGAATCCAGATTGAAGCTCGTTGAGCACAAAGTACATAAAGAGACAACAGCCACAGAAATGTAGGAGCTCAGTGCAGGGATACAGTTTTCACCATCATCATCGGTGAAAGCTGTTCTACCAACGGAGCGCAGTCACAGACAAACACGCGGCTGGCGCTTGTTGGACATTTCTCTCCGTACTTCACGTCCTGATATGACTGCGCAGGTCTCAAACAGGAAGAAGCAGCAGGTCTTTCCACTTAACCTAGAAAACAGGAGCCGCTGGGTGTTTCCATGCCGATGCCGACTGACCACATTTTCTTCCTCACAATTTCTTTCTTAATATTTTAAACTTTTTAAAATCATCAGCTAAATTCAAAAACTGTAGATACGTTACAAAGTGTATCCAATGTTTTTCAATTAGTGTGCGGTGATCACTCGGACTTTAGTTTTCAAAGAAAGGACTCGTTTTGTTTCAAATGTTATTCGTTTGTTGTTCAATAAATTCTGTGGTTAGTTTGTTTGTCACAATGTGATGCGCAACATTTAGCTTTGAGGTTTTTTTCTCTCCAAAACTTTGTCATGAGTGGCATTAAAAATATTTTTTTTACTATTTAGTACTAAACGTTACTTTTAAAAAAATACTTTACATTACAGTATTTACAATATTTAATAATTTATACTACTACTACTACTAATAATAAATTAATACCCTGTCATTAGCCCTTTGGTATTTTTCCTTTACTTTTACTAAGTTTACTTTTTAATTAAACTATTTTTAAAACTATTTTTTAGTATTTTAATACACTTTGTGTGGATATGAACTGAAATATAAATCATTTTGAATCTAGTCTTCAAAGAAATCCCAAAGAGCTGCTTGTGTTGATCTGGACGTCGGACGTTTCGTCGCTCATCCAACTTCCTCAGGACAGAATCCACATTTTGGGATTTCCTTGCCTGGATAAGCATCAACACGTCTTTAAAGATTGTTTTCTCACACGTTTGTCACTCGGACCTCTTCCCAAACATCAGCGAATGAATGTGGGCGTCTGGTAGCTGAATAATGTTGAGGGTTTTTTGTTTGTTTTTTTAAAGTTTTGTATTTAGATCAACTATATTCCTCAATTTTCCAAAAGATCCATCAAATGAGTCTGCAGTCACCAGGTATCACTGTTTGATAAACACAGTTTTAGAGGGTCCACGAGTGGGCGACGTGGATTCTTCAGCCTAATCTGTAACGTTGTGATCAGGGCCGTCCCATTTTGTGCTTTTGTCATCAAATATAGCTCCATATCACCCGGGCTGTTTGGCACTGTTGTCATGCTGCAGAACCAATCAGATCCATCCTTTGTGGCAATCTGTGATAAAAACACAAACATCCTGAAAAACCGCAGTGCAGGTTGTGTACAGTAATGTGTTAGTTAGCAGGTCAAAGGCATTTCTATAGAAGCAGAACCACAGTATACATACAGATGTACGTTCTGGTTTTTCACTGTTGTTTCCCATATAAACCACATTCAAGACAAAACAAAGATGTTTAGAAAGTCGTTGCATAGCTTGCAGCCTTTGCAAAATACGTGTAACTGAATTAAACTGAGAGCCTTCATTTCATTTATCTCCCCCACATTATATAAAGCCCCTTCAAACACAGTGCTCTCGAAGGGGCTGTAACCTTTCAGTTATATATTTACAACTCTTTCCTGCATCACCACAGGGTCCTCAAACCGTCTAAGAAAAAAGGGAGGAAGGCGAGGAAGCAGTACATCTTCACACTGGGGACAGAGGTGATCACAGCTGGCTGTACCTGTGTGAGGCCCACTGTCATACCTCAGGGGTAGGAAGGCGACGACTTGTGATGAACGCATTTCTTTCAGCACGCTGTTTTTACCCTGTACTAACCTGCATTCTGCAAGTTTGCTTTAAGTTATAACAGGTTCAGATATGAAAGTAAAATGTGTAACATGAAAGAGTCATTTTTGACCTGTGTGATGTTTTAGTGCTTGCGTTTCCCCGTCTTAGCTGTTAGCAGTAGGGCTTGCTTTGTGACTCTGATAGCTTTAAACAGCTGCAAAGTGTGTGTCTGCCCCCTTGTGGTCGCGAGGGCTTTATTGTAACTTTAATCAGAGATGGTAGACGAAAGAATGTGAGCCTTGAATTGTTGTTGACATTATTTGTACATGATAAATAATATTAATTTTGTGGATATGTGTCTTTTTTATATTTGTTCCTATTTTATTCCTAATTCGGTATTTTGCTTTTTACATTTTATACGAACTATTTTCATTTCATTGTAAACATTATAATTCATAATTAAAAATGTGTATCTTTAACATCTGAATCAGCTGTGACACAAATAATAAACTCAGGTCAAATTATCTTTATGTTAATAAATGCATTTCACAGTATTTTTAATGACAGCATTATTTTTTGTTGGTCGCTCCTTTTTTTGTAAAATATTATAGACTCACATACATGTAACTTTCATTTTAAGCTAAATATTAATTGACTATAGTGGCACTCGATGTCCATCTGCAAGCTGCCTTGCAACCCACCTTCATCCCAGCTCATCCTTTCTGCAAGTAAGTGCTTATGCGATACCCCCAGCCCCTGGGAGACACCTTTGACTGCTTTTTCCCTTGTAGGTAGCAGCTTATCTCTGCCTGCCCCAAACTATGATGTAGTTTTAGTCATAATTTAAGCACCTAAACTCATTTAGGGTCAGTCTATTTTTTGCCAGCTGAAGATTATCGAATACTAAATCTGAAGTTGATTCAGTCGACTAAAATATAAATACATAAAAGTTTGTGTTTTTACCGAGAGTTGCTCTACACGTTTTACAAAGTGTCTTATTTTCTTTGACATCAGTTGCGAGATGTGTCCACTCTTTGCTTTCTCCTTGGCATCGACATTTTTTATGCTTTTTCAGGAGAAACATAGAGCATGAGAGCTAGTTGTACTTCCACCTCCGTTTCCTAGGGACTGAATGGTGTGCGTGGTAAACTTTGCTACACGAGGAGCTTACTTCTGATTGGATCACTTCCAAACTCCTCCCACCTTTCTACATGACTTGATTCGATTCGATTGAATCTCGTCTCTCCAGAATTTTCTCATCTCATTTTTATTCCGGGACAAAGTCTCGGCACATTTCATCCTAGTTTTTCTACAGATTGCATGCAGTTGCAAACTGATAGCAGACTGAATGTCTTATGGCCATTTTATCACCACCCTGGTGAACCAACGTCGCTTTGCAAGTTGAATACACAGAGTGGCAATCATTGTGATTGTGCTGTGATATCCCAGCTACCAGTGTTTGTCTGTCACGGAAATCAGTGTCAAAAATATCACCATCAAATCTGAAAATTATGAGAAAGTTCGAGTTCAGCCAAGCTGCTTTTATTGATCATGCCAAATAGGTACAATCAACCCAGCCTTGAAGATATACAGCAACACACAGTTACAGCAAGTACAAAGCCCATGTACGACTCCCCCGTTACAGCGCAAACATTTGAGACACTTCAATCAAATCAGCATGACCAAACCACTTAAGCACATTTGATCCCCATTTTAATGTTTTAGGTTGGAATTGCTGTGAAAACCATAAACAATCAGAGACACCAAAGCAAGTCGGTCAGATCACAAATCGACCCACCGAAGCCAGAAATACGTCCAAACTGTGAACTGCAGTCAGTCACTGTTTCACCTCCTCGTAATGTGAATGTTTTTACTGTATATGTTCACTGCTCTTCTGGTATGAATACCGTGTGTGCTTTGACTTGTGCTTAATGAAATAAGAGTGCAATCAGTGCTCTAACTCTAAGAGACTCAAATGCATGTCACTGATCTACGACTACACTACAGCTAAAGTCCCCCCCCCCAGTTATTTGTTTCATATTCATAAAGCATTAGTGAGATTCACAGACAAACCCCAGACGGAGTGAAAGAAACAGTGAGAAGTATGAGCATGTGGACCGAGATCACTTTGTGTTTTCATATTTAAAGCTGGTCCTGTGTATTTAATGAATCCTGGTTTTCAGTGGAGTGGAGTTGGTTATGGCTGAGTGAGGCTCTGAAACTACTGTGTCCAGTCTGAATAAAGCACATCACAGATTTTCAGGTTTTATGAGGTAATGATCACATACTTAGTCTAATTGGAGAGAAACTGCGTCTCTGGCTGTGCCAAACTGGAAGCGTTGCCAAGAAAAAACACAGCTTCACCAAAATCATCTCCTGATGCTGAACACAGAAAACAGGAGCTCTAATTCCTTTTTTTTTACTCAGTCATGATTGGATGGCTGTTCCTCTTTAAAAAACATTAGCGCCGACGTCCCCCCCCCCCCCCCCCCCACCCTCCCACGTTCCTTTAGAAAAAAGAGAAATTTTAACATCAAGAGTGGCTAAACTTTATACAGCTTGCTCAGAATCATCGCAGCATACATCAAATATGAAAACCAAAATCTGCCCTAGTTGCTGTTGAGTTCTTCTTTTAATGCACTGTTTTCCCCCTTTTTATTTTTTTTCGTCTACCGGCAGGCCTCCTCCTTCATCTCCTTGTTCTTCCTCACTTCCTCTGCATGTTTGTCCTGCCAGACACAGAAACATGAGTGCCATTATCATTTAGGAAGATATTTTCATTAATGAAGGAGACGCCGGCGTAAAGGTTTGAATGAGAGCGAGTGGGGAAGAACTGAAAAAACTTTATTTCATTGCACTAATATTCATGGTTGCTGATCAGGTTTGTGAGCAGTGCCAAACCAGAAGAGAAAGTTCAGCTGAAGCTTCGCTTCATTTACACTCAAAAAACTCGTGTTTAGCTCTCAGTGTGTGTTTGACGTTTTGCTCAATATGTCTCTCATGTCTGTAACTTTGTAGCTGAAACAGTAAAAACATGAACTTGTTGATGTTCACTCTGTGTTAGACTAAAACCAGCAACGTTTCATTAGTGTTGCTACAAGTTGCCTGGCAACAAGTTGCCTGGCAACAAGTTGCCTGGCAACAAGTTGCCTGGCAACAAGTTTGGGTTCAGAAATAACACACGAGACAGTAAAGAGTCGTTTTCACAGTCTGCGATACACATGGACAAATATCAGTGTAACTTCACCCGAAGCTATTAGCTGGCTGTGAGAAAATATAAAACTGCTGCCCTCTAACTTCAAAGCTTGCATAAATCCTTTTTAGCAAGAGAAAAAGAAGAAAAACATTCAAAAGTCAAATTTAAAAGACAGTTTGCAATAATGTAGCAAACCTCCCCACAGACTCCCACGTTTAACTGTCCAACTACGCTGCACCAAACAGCAGGTTTACAGCCCAGTACAAAAACGGTCCCTGCCATATTAACTCTACGGTGGGTCAGGCTCATCCATCTGGATACAGATCAGGCTTAAGGTTAAGGGCGTGGCTATTTATGATTGACAGGTGTGCAGGGAGCTGATTCCTGTCTGCAAAAGCAAAATAAAAAGGAGTTTCTACGTTATCCCAGGATATCATGAAGACTGGATGAAAAGAGAAGCAGCAGAGTTTGTCTCTCCAAAGTTAAACGTGTTCTGTTTGAACAAAGACACATAAACGACCTTTTCATGCTGCTTTATTTTACTAAAGTCAAAGATGGGCCAGATTGCCTCCATAGTTAAAGCACAAATACATGTGCATATATAAAACATATGGTTGGCCTGGTGTCGTAAAAGTAACATTAATATGACATTTGTGACAATGCTGTCGAACTACTACATGTCATATGTTACACTGACACATCAGCACCACAAAAACCTTGCTCAGCATTATCAGCACTGGATTTTTACCTAACCCCCCCAAACAAAAATAATGGTCCCACGTGGGAGATGAACCCTGGTGTTCTGTGGCTGTCTGCTGTGTGAGAAACCACACAAAGCAATGATTGTTTGAGATCAGTTTGCAGACCTCCCCTCTAACGGTCGGGAGGCTCGGGGCTTAATCGTGGCCACGTTACCTTCTCCTGCAGCCTCTCCAGCATGGCTGCCAGCAGAGCCTCCCTGTTCTCCTTGTTGGCCTCCATCTTCTGCTCCAGCTTCTCCTTGGCGTTCTTGATGAAGTTGTTGTTCTCCTCAAAAGCTTTCTGGATCACCTCGCGCTCATGCTCTCTCTTCTCCGCCAGGTGCTTCAGCAGCTCCGCCTCCTGGCACTGGAGGAAGATGGAGAAGTGAAGGCAGCTGCTCATCCTTTACACAATACTCAGACTGCAGGTGATAAGCAGGCTGTTTGCAGTTTTCACCTATTTCAACAAAGTTCAACTGTCAAACATGTTCTAGTTGAAGGGTGCAGACACAAACTGAAATGTGTGCGGTTGTCAGCACCTGTAATCTTTGTCCTCAGGTGGGCCAAACCTCATAACTAATACATTAGATCACTGTGAGCCAGTAAAGCCAAAGAAATTGGAATTGCCTCGTTTCCAGAGAGCGCTCTTCCATCTCTAACAATCTTTTCACTCTCCTCACCTTTCCCCTGTTTGTCTCTTGCCCTCGCTCCATCATCCTCTCTGATGGATGAATATGAATCATTGTCTTTGTGTCCTCACAGGATTGTCTCTGCTCTTTCATCTGCCTCTTTTCATCTCCCCCAGCTCAGTTCCTTCTTTCCGTTCACTCCAATACTCCCTCCCACTTCCCCTTCATTCATTTTAAGCCTATTTCCGTCTCTCCGATAAATCACACAAAGAGTGCTAACAGATGTTTAACAATGGCTGAACGAGCCACAAACAGCGGATGTTTTCTGGCGGTTCAGATGACGCGCCCGCTCCCTCACCTTTCGCCTCTCTTCAGCCGCCTCTAACTTCTTCTGGATCTCCTCCAGGGATGGGTCGCGGCGCTGCGGCATGGAGGCATTGAGTTCAGGCAAGCCGTCAAAAGACGGGGGCTTGAGGATGACCTCGAAGGCCTGGCCCGATGCGCGTTTGTTCAGCTCGATAACTTCTACGTCTTTGATGACGCACCAGGCCAAGTCCACTGCATCTGTGTTGGTGGATAGCAGCATTTACTGTCAGAGCTGAATCCATGACCTCATCTTTGTTTGTCTTTAACATCGCCATCATGTTATATTTTAAAACATGGAAACACGTTCAGAGAAAAGAACAAGAACAAAAAGATCTTGAGTCTATTCTGTGTACTGGAGGATGGCTGAACGATAGCAGCAGGGTTGTTTTTGCTTCTTTTAAATATATATATCTATTTAAATAAACAAACACAAACCCTTCCTCACAGGCAAGCCAGCGTTTTGTTCATCTCCATGATTCAACTGAAGCTGGACTAATGTGCTGTATCTCGAGGTTAGAGAGACCAGTCGTCTATAATGAGATCCCTGTAAACAGACCGACTGAACTCACTTTATTTAATAAGAAATGTCAACGTGTGCTTTAAAATCGAATCAAGCTAAATGTCTGAGTATTTATACAGTTTCATACATATTAGGGGGTTAATCAGTAATTTTTTTGCATTTAAAATCAGTTCGGTCTTTTCACAGATCTTTAATGGTTTGGAAGGCAGTTAAATCATAGCTAGATGTTTAGAGTTGGTGCCATAAATAGAGGAATGTGTCTTTATGATTACACAATGAGATGCTGCTATAAACATAAATCAAATATTCCTGGGACGGAGCCTCGGGGAACTTTGTAATAAGGAGGAAAGAGGCCTGGATGCTGAATGATCACTGACTGTGCTCAAAACTCAAACTTTCACGTTTGTAAAAGTATGACGTGGTCAGCTGCACCAAACACATTTCAAATCAATAAAGAGATTATAAAGGTTCCTTGTGATGTACCAAGAAGTATCCAAGATCTATCGCTTAAATAGCAGCAAACACATTTTATTGTCACTATGCACACGTACAAAGAGCTGGATAAGAAAGAAGGATGGGGTTCAAACCCACGCGTGCAGAGCACAGTGGATGAGCAGTCTGTCGCCTTGGCCACTCGGACACCTCGTCTGACAGCTGGAGCGATGCTGGAGCATAAACTTAGGCTGAAATGCAAAATGTCAATGATTTGGAGAGTCTGGTTTACTTTGAGATCGAATGTTTTACTTTAGTCAGAGATCTGGAGGAAGAACACAGAAAGTGTTTCACTCTGTAGAAATGACGCCAAGACCGAAATATAAGTTATATGTTCAGAATTTAGTTGCAGTTTGCAGTCACTCCTGATCTGTTATAACTTTAAAAAGATTCAAATTTAGATAGAGGGAAACAAAACTGCTTCTTGCTCACTTTTAGCTCCAAAGGTGATTATTTAGAAAGACCCAGAATTAGGACAAAAGGATCAGCGTGCGTCAGCACTGACTGTGGGCCTGGGTTTACTGCAGATCTAATGAGACATCTGTGGATGAGATGTTCTTGTGTTTGTCTGTAGTTGCTGAAGTTGCTGGTTTTAGACAGACAGGAAGAGAGGAGCTGAAGTTTGAGGAGCATCAAACTTCAGCCACAGAGACTGCTGTCGGTCTTTTATAAGCGACTGTACCCCTAATAAACACCAGTGCTCGTGCAAAGGAGATTTTTTACCTTCTGCCTTGTAGGTCGGGTTTTCTGCAGTGCGTGGGTTCAGGCATGAGCAGAACAGAGACACCAGGGGGAGCTCTTTGACCTTCTCTTTATAGGCTGAGGACACACACAGAAGATCAAGCTGAATCATGAGCACGCAGTCGAGGACTGACGACGTAAGTCATGCTCGTTATGTCATACCAGCGGACATAATAACGACACGCTGCACGACACAAATACTGCATGCTCATATTTGAACAGATCGGTCGCAGTATAGTGTTTAAAGCAGAGGAGCAGGGCGTGTGAGGTGAACGGGTTTGTGCTGCGACTGCATTTACCTGCCAGAGTCATGGTCTCACTGCAAATGTTACTCTCCAGGGACGCTGAAGATCCTCCTCACTCTGTCAGAGAGCTGTGCAGGGACAGAGACAGAGAGCACTGAATGCAGGAGCATCGAGGGCACAATCTGAGAAGGAAGAAGCTGAGGAGACAACAGCGTGAGCCAAAAGTGTAGAGCAGCCAAGTCATGATTATTGGACTCATGCAAAGCTGTTCTAGCAGAGTCAGAATAAAAAGATAAAGGCGGAGCGTAATGCAAAAATCCCACCTGAGAATAAACTTTAAATTAAAGCTCACATTATCAGATCAGAGCTCTTCAGACAAAAACTATTCTGGGTAAAGATCTCTGACCTTCTCAACAACAGTTACCTGACATGTAGAAAAAAGTCAGAGTCAGTCGGGTGTTCCTGCACTTTAAATGTTGTTGTTTCACCATTAAAAATGGAAAAAAATAAAGTAAAATGTTCATCAAACAGCAGAATGAAGCTCTGCTGTTCTAGTTCGTCTCAGGCTACTAAACTGTTTCTTTTGTTTGTGTGTGTTGAGAAACTTTCCTGGGGTGGCTGTAGCTCAGGTGGCAGAGCAGGTCAGCCACTAACCAGAAGGTCGGTGGTTCGATCCCAGGCTGCCTCCAGGCTGCATGCCAAATATCCTTGGGCAAGACGACGTTGCCTACTGGTGGTGGTCAGAGCGCCCGGTGGCGCCAGTGTCCGGCAGCCTCGCCTCTGTCAGTGCGCCCCAGGGTGGCTGTGGCTACAATGTACACACCAGTGTGTGTGTGTGTGTGTGTGTGTGGATGACTGAATGTAGTGTAAAGGTCCTTAGGGACTGAGTAAAGTGCTATACAAATGCAGGCCATTTACCATCTATCAGATACTGTAAATGTGCAGAAAGTCGAACATCCAGCTGAAGAAGCTGCAAGTCAAGCATATTTTTCGAGGCGTGGCAGAGAAGCTGCTGCAAACCTTCTACAGACCTTTAAAACACCGCCTTTGCCTAACAAATTCAATAATTCATAATTCAACAATAATTCTGTTTTTCAATGAATTTGGCAACTGAAAAAAAGCAGATTGCACCGAGGCACAAAGGCAGCAGAGTAGAACCACCTGCCGTCGTCTCCTCCTCAGATGGTGATAGGTTTGTAGCTTGAACCTATTCGCTGGAACGTTGAAGACAATATAATTACACAGCAAGCAAGACACAAAGTAGGCAAAGTTCTTCATGTTTCTCGTGCACGGGAGAGAACCGGACAAACGCCGTTCCTTCGCTTGACCCCAGTTGCTCTCGTCCGCTCCCCCGTAACACTGCTCTTTTATTGAGGTTACATGAATATGCATAGGTTCATTAACATACGACATATACATACACACAAAGAGTACCTTGCCTTTGTGTGTGTGTGTGTGTGTGTGTGTGTGTGTGTGTGTGTGTGTGTGGTCAGACATAAATGACAACTCTAAGCATATATGAGTAGATATTTCTAAGCATAAATAACAATCACCAATACAAAACCTAACAGATGGTCTCGTCAGCACTGGGCTGTTATAAATGTGTCTCTATCAAAACTTCTATCATTTCTTTAACTCTGAACTGTTTCAATGAGCCTGATCGATAATCCAAACAGACACACTTATCTGCCTCATCGGTGCTCTAAAACATTTTGTGTGCTAATTGGATAATCTCATCCTTTTAGATTCTGGGAGTGCTCTGCACAGCTTACTGACCCTTCCTCGGTCCACTGCACACACTAATTACGTTTGCTTAAATCCTGGGAACCAGTATCACTGGCATGAGGACACACACCCAGCTCACTGTGAGGTCGAAAACAATAAAGCAACATTTGAACGTCATGTAACAGCTGGGGTCCTTGATACAGGCCTAATTGAGACATTTGCTATCTTCAGACCTTTCCCACTGTGTTTTAAAGGTAAGTGACGGAGCTCCCACCAGCCAGTGGACAACGTCACCGTGGCTACACCCATCTTTTATATTTGATCTCTGTGTATGATGTTGTTCCCTTTAGATTTAGTTGAACTCACCATCTTGAAAACCTAGAGGATGGAGCTTTGTGGGATACACTGTAGCCCAAATCAGGACCTTTTCTCAACCTTACATAATAAAAGAAAAGCAAATAACAAGTGAAGTCTAAATTTAAAGGCGCTCTGTCTTCAGACTGAAAGTCAGATGTACTTGGAGCGATGTCTACCCCACACGCGGCCCCATTACAGTCAGCATTCATCAGTCCTGTTAGTTCTTCTCAATTTCTCATGTGAAGAGTGCCTGCTTGTGTCGTTTCTGACATTAGGAACAAACGACTGGCATGTGTCACATTAATGATGTCCGGTCCCACTCTGTTAGTCCATTAAGGCCTCAGTCACGGGCTTAGAGACTGGTCAGTGACAAATGAGTATGTATTACCTGACTGGTTGCTGAGTGGTTGCTGGAGATTACTGGCAGTCGCCACAGTCACCTGCAAACAACCCAGCCGCATGTAGTGAAGCTTGACCAAGTGTGATGCTGACTGGAAACCACTTAGTGAGTAGTTGCCGAGGCTTGTAGACAAGTTGCCATTCCCCATGCAAGCTAGGAGTGCAGCCAGAAAGTGAAACTAAGCAGAGTCTTTGATCGAAACTTAAAGTGTGGTGTGACGTAGAGAGCACCTATATAAATTATTATTATTATTATTATAAATATCTAGGCTTCCGTTTGTGCTTCAGACCTGGGGTTGTGTGTTCAGGTCTCCATATCCCAGATATGTAAAATAAAGATCATTTTTAAAGTAAAAGGACCACTTTTGAGCCGTGTCTTTTTTGGCCGTAAAGAATCCAAAACAACCAAATTTAATACAAGCAAACCTGTATACCAGTTGGCAATTTAGCAACTTCCTGCAACCACTCACACCAGTGATGTGTGACTAGGTTCAACCAGATGCAACCAGTTGGGGAATACTGTTTATTTTCTAGTGACCAGTGGTTTCCACTCAGTCTTCAACCAGTTTGCTATAAATTAGAATCCCATTTAATATGATGGTGAATTGATATTAAATGATGCTAAACACTGCCAGCACTAGTGCTAGCTGATAACTCCCCGAGCTCCACCTTTTCCTCCAAATGTGATCACATCAGCAAAACCGAGATAACACAAATGCTAAACTCAAAGCTTTAACATGTTCGTAAACAGCTGAAACTACCTAAAAATTATTTTATTGTCTTTTGGCTTTTTATCTGGATGCACTAACAATTAAAGGTGCTGGATGTGTTTCAAGCTATGCCAGTTGCCTGTTGAACGTTTACTCAGACAGAAGCAAATGAGCATATTTCCCAAAAAGTGTCTGTCTGTCCGTCTACAAATGAGCCTGTCAGCAAGCCTGAACGTCCGTCTCCACACAGAGACACAAGTGTCCTAATGAGACAACCCGCATTACCGAGGAAGACAGATAGCTCATTATACTGCAGTGAGCTCAGGCTCACCTGGCCACCCTGACACGGTTCCCTGAGGGACAGACAAGGACAAACACATGATTTTGCACAGCACACACACACTAATCAAGCAGTAAACGAACTGCTTTGCTGCACTGTTGTAATGCACACGCACACAGGACACACACAGCTGCTTCTCATATTATGAAGCCACCCAGGTTGCAGATCAATGCACTGCTTCCTGCAGGAGTAAGAGTGTGTCACTTCGAGTTTGGGAGAGAGACAGAGGGTGGAAACATTTGGGGTGGTGTTGGTGGGAAATTTTGCTGACAGCTACCTTATAGGCTGTTGAGGTTTTTCATTATCCGACTGTATGATATTCACTGAATTTGAATCTGTGCTCCTTAATTGGTAGAGTCTTAAACAAAGAAAAAAAGCAAACAAGCCCCCAAACAACAGCAGCGAGCACCGATTGCTATCAGAAAATGTATATCCCCCAACTAGTCGGCAGTGTTTCCTGTAAGTCGCTGCTCTGGCTGGTTGAAATCTATTGAAGGTTCTGCACCTTCTTCTTGTCCTGGTGGTTGCTTTGTTTGTTAGCAGTGTGAATGTAGTTTGGCCGTAAACACTTGCTAACTATTAGCTGAGCGGTAGTAAAACGAAAGAATGAGGTGCACTTACTTACTTTCAAGGAAAATGGTCCACGTTTGCAGTTTGTGTCACACTGTTCACGGTTTCACTATAACTCAGAGATTATACAAAACCACCACCTGTGTGGCAGCATGCTAGTGACCAAAGCAATCACATGTACGTTTTTGCCAACCGGTCAAGGAATACACATATTTTCTCAGGCATGTTTGGGTCGCAAGGAAAAAACGGGGCTCACTGAGAGGTCTCTAGGCCCATGTGACCGGAGCTTTTGGCTCATTTCCCCAGCCATCAACCTCCAGCAACCTTTTATCACTAGTCACTGAATATTAATTTTGCCCTCATGACCGATCCAAATGATTCTGGATCAGTCTCATTTGAGCCTCCATTGAGACCATTGTTACATGCACAATGGGCGACCGTGGCTCAGGGGGTTGGGAAGCGCATCTGTAACCGGACGGTCGCCGGTTCGATCCCTGGGCTCTCTGTCCTGGTCGTTGTGTCCTTGGCCTACCGCCTACTGGTGTTGGCCAGAGGGGCCGATGGTGCGAAATGGCAGCCTGGCTTCTGTCAGTCTGCCCCAGGGCAGCTGTGGCTACAACCGTAGCTGCCTCCACCAGTGTGTGAATGTGAGAGTGAATGAATAGTGGTATTGTAAAGCGCTATATAAATCCAATCTATTATTATTAAATCTTTGCCTTGACCACTTGCAGAGAGTCAGGTAAAAGAACTGATGCTATTCATGTTTTACGCTAAAGATGGAGCTAACAGCCAGGTAGCTTAGCAAGGAGACCTGAGAGTTGACTGACTCAAAAAACTGACAAGTATGAAACTCATTCATAAATTCTTGGTTTTATTGGCTGCTTCAATAACAATACAGCTAAATGGGAATTAGCACTGAGCAGAGCCACGCTAGATGTTTCCTTTTGTTTCCGGAAATTGTGCTAAGCTAAGCTAGCATTGTCAGCATGAATGATTTGTCATATTTTAGAATATTTAATATTTTTCAGCACTTTAACATTAAAATGACATTCAGTTACTTATTGATTGATAAAAAAAGAAAGATTGTATCCGACTGTGTGTTTCCTCAGGTCTGAAGAGGTTTTCTTCCTGAGAGGCTTTAAGCCTCGTGGTAAAAGTAATATTAGGGCACTTTTCTGGTCAGACTTAGAGTAACGAACACTGATTTGATAAAATTTAAATAAATGAATTGGTTATTCTAAATTTAATATACAGTGCTTTATGTCTATAGAGTGAAGCACAGCACAGTATGAATGCATGGCTTGTAGCTAAAGCGTGTTTACTAACCTCTATATAAATGTGCCACGTACATTTTTATTTCATATTCTTTCTCAGCATCACTAAATCATATTTATTTTGTAGTTTAGCTGCATAGGTCATATATAACCACTTTCTCCTCCAAATCCTTCTCATCTCACTGAATTTGTTGTTTAGGAGATCATTTCTGAGAGTCGATTAAATCTGTATAAAACCTTCTTATCTTATTATCGTCCTATTTCAAAACGTTCTCTGAAACTGATCGGCATGGTCTGCACATGTCTCGCTCAACACAAACACACATATTCTTTCAGCTGTGATTTGTACTTGAGCTGATATTTGCTTTTCTAACAGCAGTCGTCTCATTTCCATTTTTCACAGCACTGAGCTCAAGAAGAACGTTTTTTTGTTTCCATGGGAGCAGAATTTCATGTACTACTTGTAATTGTATTTCTTGTTTCTAATATTATAATATTAATAATAATAACTCTGTACTTGTGTCATCACTTAGCATTGTTCATAGCAAACACCAGGATTGATCAGACTCTTGGAGACAAAACATTCCTCTGACATTGGTTTTGTCTTCACAGATTGTTGTCCGTGAAGGTTCTCAGTCATCCAGGTCATCGTAGCCCTGTGGGAGTGTCCCCCAAGAGGGACAATAGGGCTTAGATCTGGGATCTCCATTTTCCACCATTTGACCTTAGAACTGAAGAAGCTTTTCGGACGAGAGGTGAAACGTCTTCAAGCAACTTAAAGAAGTCCAGACGCTTTTCTTTCCGAGCTCCTTAGACTCGACAGATTGTTGTACTGTTATGTTTTTCTGCTCCTAGAAAGCTGCTATGCATGCATATTAATCAATTCACTGGGAGATTACTGCTACAGCAAAGAAACTGCAGACTTAAACCTGATCAACCAGACAAATCTGAACTTCTGACGGTTCTGAGCACATTTTAAATTCAGACCCTCGCCTGTATGACTCTGCCTTATGCACAAACACATCAAAACACCCTCCATTTTCTCCCCGGTCTCTCTGTCTGCCTCTCCTTCCTTAAATCAGACACAAAGCTGCATTTGGACATATGGAGAATCAATAATAAATGATGTCTCACGCTCTACACTTTGATGATACACTCGGTTCTCTCCCTTTCTGTCGCCTATCAGCAGGAACCTTTGCCGCTGCATCATCACTCTGCCTTCCTCACCCTCACCCTGTTCCACCCCACGGACACGCTTGAATACACGCACATGCAGGTACTGCTCATTCATGCCATGAAAGCTAACCTGAAGAACCCAAAGTGGCACACAGTGCAACACAGATGTGTGCAGCCGTGTGTCTGGCGCTGCAGACTTACCCCCCTCTGTACGGCGTCTTCTCCGCTGCTGATGTTGAACCGGTGACTACGGTTACCCCGTCGGCTGCAAGGATGCAGGCGCCAGGCAACAGCATCAGCAACAGCATCGATGCTGCCTCCATGACATCACCATGGAGACGCCTCATTGGTCTGAGACGCTGCCAGCATCTGATCCTTTCAGCCAATGGGAGCAGACAGGAAGGATGGTGGGGAGGGACGTCAGCTCTTTGTGTTGTACTGCAGGGTGGGTGGTGGAATCAGTGTTTTAATGTATGGTGCAGGAGTGTGTGTGTGTGTGTGTGTGTGTGTGTGTGTGTGTGTGTGTGTGTGTGTGTGTGTGTGTGTGTGTGTGTGTACTGTGCATGAGAGAGAGTTCAGGGAAGTAGTGTGAGAAACTGGGGGAGCTTTGTCTCAGCATGAGGCCCAGATAGGAAGCACGCAGAGCTCTAAATTATTTAGATCCTAACTGTAAATACAGGAGCGAGAAGAAAATCTCGAGCACATGCCGTGTATCACACATAGTTGTTATGGCAAGTATTATTATAACCACAAATACCAGTTCTTCTAAAGAGGAGACTGGGGGAAAGCCTCGTAAATGCTGTTATTTTCCAATGTTTCACTGCTGTAATCTACAAACAATATGTACCTGCTGCATATAAGCTTTTAATCATACACCTGTGCTCTTCCTATTTGGCATTAAGGCCTTCTAGCAGTGCTCCTAGTGTAATATCCACAGCATTTTATTCCTGTAGAGGTTAACAGCACATTCTGGGCAAAGAAAAAAATTCTGTGTTGCAGTTTAAGGTTGTATTGCAGCCGACTGTAAATGTTAGTTTACAAGCATCGCCGTTCAGCTCCACTGTATTCACAAATAAAAGTACATGACAGTATATTTACAGTTTTTCACGTTTTTCAAAATGTATTAAATTTTTACAGGGGATGTTTACAGCTACTGTACTTTACGCATGTTTTACTGTAATGCAGCCGCTCTGTGATCGCTGCTTCTATCTTTGAACCTCAGTATAGTGATCTGTATCTGCAGTCTCAGGCTGAACCACTTAATGCAAAGTAACATTAAATTACACATTTTTCTTTCATGTTTAAGGAAGGTTAAAGGTTTTGGGCGTGTCGTTTATTGATATACTGAAAAGTAAAAAGGACAGGGTGGCTTTGTTAGCTTAGCGTTAGCTTGGCGATCTGATAGCCACACTACTGTATGTGATGACATCATTTCCACTTGACTGTAATGTTTTTTTCTGTATAATGTTTGGTTCAAAGATAAAGTTTTTACAAATGTTGCATATGAGAAAACACTGACAGTCGTACTGTAATGTGTGATTGTGATCTCAGACTCCGAATGTTTTTTATCCATATCAGATCACATGACGTTGTTACGTTGCCAACCAACCACCTAAAATCGCACTTTTGACTGCACTTTATATACACTGGGTTACTGTAGCAGACAGTGCCACGTGATTATGCAACTTTTAACACCTTTTACTGATATGACCCTTAAGCGGTGTGTACACTACTCTCTGTGGCCACACCTACAAATGGCAGCTAGCTTCCAGTTATCACTTTTTGTAGCATTTCTTCAATTTAACACCTTATAAAAGCATAGTATGATTTTCATAACAAACAGAATCAGTAATTTATAGTCACAATTTATACGTGAACTCTTGTGACAACATCATGTTGCCTAGCAACCACCTACAAACCAGCTAAAATGACCCATTTGTTGCATTCATGTACCTACACCATCCTTTCATTAATATCATATGATGCAATATGCTTGATGCTTCGTTAGAATATTTTAATACATTTTGTTGAGACGAATCGTGACAAAGCTCTGTTGTTGGATCCCGGCAGCCACAGACTGCCACAGTGACCGTTGTGTTATTACTGGCCTAATGTGACACCAGAGTCGCTCTGGAAAGGCCTGCGAATCCCAACGTGATGTTAAACGCTGTTTGCAGAGTGTTATTGCACTTGGTCTCACAGTAGCTCTGCTGCAAAGCTGGCATGATCGTGTGTTTGGAAAAGCTTGGAGCTCATCTGCGTTTTTCCCCGGGGGAACACCACTCCTACTAAAGCTCCCACTCAAACTTCTTCCTGTAGTGGATCTGAACGCCTGTTAGCAATGCTTTTGTTATAGAGCCTTGAGGCGACTGTTGTTGTGATTTGGCACTATATAAATAAAATTAATTGAATTGAAATTATAGCTGATTCGGACGATGTCAATAACAACACAGCTGTTTTAAATAGCTATGCTGTCAAGACATCAGAGTAATAAGGAAGGCTTGACAGTAGCAAAATAAAATGTAAAAGAACAGGGCTTAAGGACAGGACAGTGAATACTGAGAAAACCCTCTGCTGATGCAGCTCACACAAGCAACATGATGTCACCACGGCGTCCACCAGCACATGAAAGAGCTCACGGCGCAGCAGGAGAGAGAGCGATATGCATGAGGTCACATTAGGGCGTGTCCCGCTGTCGCTGTCTCCTCTTCTCCCCTCACCGTGCTGACTGTAAACCAACGTGTGACACTGGACATCACACACATCCTGGAAATGAGCTCATCAGGGGAGGGGAGAGAAAAGAGACACAGAGAGGAGTAAGGAGTGGTGGAGGAGACACCCTCCAACATCAAACAGATTATTTCAGTGATTCTGGGGAACAAAGATAAGAGGGAGGGCCCGAGCAGGGGGAAAACAAGAAGTGCCAAAAAAAGAGGGGCGCCGACAGGGAACACCCACGGGAGAAGTTGGGAGAGGAGCAAGAAAAATGCTCCTGGGGAAACAGCAGGAGGGATCAGAGGTTTTACAGAACAGCCTCTGTACGCTGGGACGAGCCGGAGAAACGGACAAACTGAATCTTTCCTCCAATAAAAAAACTAAAAACCCATCTCTACCTTCAGGTGGTGGTGACCTGGTTATAGTCTTCTTCACAGTCAGTCACATATGTTTTTAGACGATTTTGATGCTCAAAAGCAAAACAAGTATGCAGAGAAGGCGGTACTCATCTTAAACCAAACTCATATCCTGATAACCACTTAAGGGCCTGCAGTGAACGCGCACACTCTTCCCCACTATGTCTGCACTCTGCAGGTCTGCAGACCCTCGTAGCCTGTAAAATATAAACAATTACAGCAGCTCAGTGGCAGCACGAGAGTCTGACATCATCCTCCCGATGAGATCATCCCATAAAACTACTGGTCTTACTCATTCAGCTAAACGTGAATGTGTGTGTGTGTGTGTGTGTGCATGTGTGTGTGTGTGTGTGTGTGTGTGTGTGTGTGTGTGTGTGTGTCCATGTGTGTGTGTGTGTGTGTCCATGTGTGTGTGTCCGTATGTGTCCGTGTGTGTGTGTGTGCATGTGTGTGTGTGTCTATGAGAGACTGAGGAACTCTAGTGGGTGGTGCAGGTGTCAGTTGTAGGACAATCAGATTAGCTGTAACAAACTGTGCTGTGATGAGATTGAAGCTGAAGGGCTTTTAAAAGCATTGATCTGGACGAGGGAAAGCCACTCCCACACCAAGTGAAGACTAATCCCTTTTTCTCTGAACTACAGAAAAGTTAAAGCGCCGTTCACCTCGACTCAAACTAAATTTAGCCTGCATTAACGCTACGCTAACAGAAGCTGTAAAACAGAATCGGTAACATGACCACATCCTTTCCACTCTGTCGCAGCGCTGCTAATACCAGCAAAGTTGTCCTGACATGTTGTGCAGGCTTCATGCTTCTGCATGTTTGTCAAAGACAGCCTGTCTGCAGCCGGCTGTTACCATGGAAACAGAGAACTGAAAAATGCAGCGAGAAAGGTGAATGACTACCAGAGAGTGAGTATTTGCTCATGCGCTATTTTTGTGCACAGGTTGAAAACACCTTGGAAACGTGTTGGTTTTAGTGACCAGCAGCGGCTGCAGGAGCCTCGTGGAGCTGTGTGATGCCTTAAATATGTGGCATTTCATTGGAACTGTGCATCAGCGCGCTCATGTACGCCTATGGAGGCAGAGATCGTTACACAACTAAAATCATCATTTGCTAAAAATTTCAACTGAAGGTTTTAGTTTGTCACAAATGCTAATCTGACAAACTGTGTTAGCCATTTTAAGATGCCAGTGCAGTAGCAAGCAGAAGGTTTCCTGCTGTATTTTATCTACCGAAGCATCCAAGCTCAGCACCTGGGTAACGCCGGCCCATTTTTAGAGACTTTTTCCTACTTAGGAAATCCAAATGGTAAAAGGTTCATTCCAAAATCACCATATGGGACTTTTTTGGACTGTGGCTGAAATGAAACCCAACTCTAAATCTGGACAGCTTCTGCTGACCTGCTGAGGTCATCAGAAGGTCAGGTTAGGATCTGAGTTGACCTAATCTTGTGCCATACAAGTGTTTTTCTATAAAAGTCCTACAAATAAAAAGATTCCAAGTGTTTTGTCTTTTAGTTGATGACACTGTTTCAGTTATATTGTTGGTTTATGATCAGAGCCTAAATAAAATGAATTTGCTAACGATCAGAAAAATCCAGAAAAATGGAAAAAATGAGGAAAAGGTTCAAAATAATTGTTATTTTGGATGCTTAAAGTCAACAGACTAAACATGCAGATTCGACCCATCATCAACTTCATCAGGTCTTCATAAAAAAAAACACAAAACAGTCCATCTCATATCCAAGTTTGACTGTTTTTTTCTATCAGGGAAACCAAATGTGCCTGTGAGGCAGATCATTTGTTTCCTGTGTGCTTTCCTGTCGTCCTGGATCTTTTCGTATTTCCTGAGCATGCGGACTGATCCAGGATGCTTGCGTCCCTTAATGGGCATAAAACATTTGCAAACGACTTCAGTACAATAACATGGACATCAATAAAGTTGCTTGTTAAAGCACGAAGACTGTGTGAAGCAAACCACATGGAAGCAGCAGTGTGTCAGTGGGAGAAGCGCTCAGCAGCAGCAGCAGCTGCAGCCTGGGGTAAAGCCACTTTCATTTTCCCTGTGTGGGCGCCATCTTCTGGACAACCGTGGTCATGTTTCCTGACGAGGCACAGGATGTTTTAACCCGAGTTTGAACTTGCCCCAGTGAACCTC